GGGGTGCCCGGAGAGGGCCTGGGGGTGCTGATGAGGACTGACGCCTCCTCTCTGCCTGGCCAAGGAGCCCGGGAGGCTCTGTGGGCCATCCGGCTTCGCGTGTCACTGGGAGCCTGGCACAGAATATCTCCCAAGACACGTGCTGTGGTGCCTCTCTGGGACCGGTGGCATCTGTGGTGTTTTTCAGTAGGTCGGGGCCAGTTTAGCTCCACTGGATTCTTAACAGTAGCTGTGTTTAAATTTAAACAATTCTCCAGTAAATGACCCAGATGGCTTTCTGTGCTGCAAACCCAGTTAAGCATTCTGGGGAGGAATAGCGCTTTAGCCCAGCAGCCCCGTCTGTTGTGTTTCCAGGACCTGCATCAGGATCTCTGGGAAAACCGGCCTAGGGATGTGCTTATGGGGGTCACTTTGCTACGTGTGTCCTCGCTCTCCTGTACCACTGACCTCCTGGCAGGGTGGGTGACAGGCCGGTGAGCAGCACAGGGGGTTGGCAGCCCTTGAATTCCAGCTCTGCTCACAGTAGCAAATTCCTTCAACCCTCATTTTTGTTTTGGAATCGTGTTACTCTCTGGAAGCAGAAGACTGTGGGGTTTTAGGGGCAAACTCAGTGCTCGGTTTATCTAGTCTTGGTCAGTCAAAGGTTTTGGTATCCCAGTGCCTGCAACACCTTCAGTGTCTTTGCCTTGTGGGGCAGGAGTGTGCAGGTCACGCTGAAGAGGGTGAATTGAGGCCCAGAGAATTCATGTGAAAATGTCATGGTTAGAGCAGGGAGTTTAATGAAGGCTCTGAAGGCCTTGGCTGGTCCTGTACAACTCCCTTATCTTCCACATTTATACCAGGGGACAACAGCAGAAAAGCTCTTTGATTTCTTGTCCATCATATAACACTTCTCTCTACAGGTTTGTTTTTAAAAGCTGTAAGAAGCGGAAGCAAACTGCTCACAGCCTCCCGGAATGGCAGACCAGAAGCGCCTTGCTTACTCCATCATCCAGTTTCTCCATGACCAGCTGCAGAACGGGGGTCTGTCTCCAGATGCTCAGGAGAGTTTGGAAGGTGGGTGGTGGTACAAGCTCCCCTCTTCACGCGCCTGCATCCGTCAGCCCAGCACTTGGGGAAATTTGGACACTGACACCTCTTATGTGGCTGGGCTGTTCCTAACATCAGGCCTTGTTCAAGATTTGAAATGAAGTTGTCATCCTGGAGAGGTGTCCAGGGTGTTAAGGATGCTGATTCCTGATCTGATTTCTTGTTACCTCTTTCAAAAGCAGATTAGCTTGAGGAAGGGATATACCTGGGATCCAAAGCCACCCTGACCCTGGGTTTGGGCCTTAACTTTTATCTTAAATGGGGTGGGCTCAGGAGGCTTGTAGGGCGGTGTGAAAGGAGACATTTGTTGTTGTGGAGAAGGGTTTTAGACTCGCAGGGTGCTTTGTCCTGCTCGGCTATCAAAATGCTTTTCCACCCCGCATCCTGGAGTGTTTATAGAGCCTTTTTCCAAGGGCTTCACTGGTAATGAGAGCACACCGATCTTAAAAGATCTACGTAAGGAGCTTACGCAGTCGGCTTTGTCCTGTGCACTTGTCCCACTGAAAGGGAGCACGGGCACGTTCCTGGGTGAGGCAGGCCCCGAAGGGCGGGAGGAGGCTGTTGGGTGGAAGGAGGGGTTTATTCCTCATGCTTTTGGACTGTTTAAACATGTCGTGAGGGCTCTGTAAAACTGAGCTCTGGGTTGCTGGGGTTCCCCTCTGTGCTGGGAGAAGCTTCCTGAGCCGGAGCCTGTGAGGGAGGGGGTGGTTGGTTGGTGTGCGTGCACCTCCGCGTGCCTACAGTGCAGCCACCCTCTAGCAAGTGAAACAGGCACGTCTCTCCCTGCTCTGTGCTGTCCGTGGCTGTGGGAATGCTGGCAAAGCCCCGGTGTGACTGACTTCTACCCCCAGTACCTGCTCTGGAGTCACCTGAGTTGTGGCTGACTCGATCCAGGAGCTTGATCCCCAGAGCTGAGGTTTGCCCAGCTCCGAGGTTTTGGCTAAATTTGGGAATACGGCCCAAATATCAAGTCTGGTGTGTGGAAATGTGTGTTTTGTTGGGTTATTTTTTCCTGGTATGTAAGAAATCTGGGTGCTGTGGGAGGGGGCTAAGTATTTAGAGTGGGGGAGGGTAATTACCTGACTCTTGTTGTCCAGTGGCCATCCAGTGCCTGGAGACAGCATTTGGAGTCTCGATGGAAGACCAAGGCCTAGCTGTGTCCCAGACTCTTCCTGAAATATTTGAAGCTGCCGCGGGAAAGGTGAGCGAGTGCCCTAAAGCACGTGCCGAGTTGTCACTCACCTAGATGCAGCCACGAGCTCTGATTCCGGTGGCAATGCCGCCGCCTCGGAAGTGCGCGGGGTTCGGCCTTGAGAAGCCGGCGCGTGGGAAGGGGGAAGTGGAGCACATCTCGGTGGGAGTCCTTATCGCAGCCGTTCTTCCTTCCCTTGTAAGGAGCCTGAAGGTGTCGGAACACATTCGGAGCCCATCACTCCCTCCGAGGGTGACATAGCTGAAGCTGAAAGGCTCAAGACTGAAGGTAACTCCTCTGGAGCTGGCGTGTAATGAGGTCTAGATGGGAACGGGGAGGGAGGCTAAATTCACTCGGCACCTGGGGAATGCTTGGAATTGGGGGGAGGGAAGCAAATGGGATCAACTCTTCCATTTCTGCTTGTTCCTCCCCTTGCGCTCCAGCAGCGTGTGTAGGTTGGCACAGTTTAGCTGCCACGAGGCCTTGGTAGACAGCGGGGTCAGCGCTTTCCTTAGCAGCCTAAGACGCCCGTGCTGTGCAGAGAGAGCACCTCTCCTGCTGAGCACCCTGCGTGGTGCCTCTCCTCCGCCGGGCCAGCGAGCGCAATCGGAGCCGAAGCACAGCGCAGGCTTTTATCTGAGCCAACGCGCCGCTGTGCGTTTGGGGGTGCAGTGCTGCTTTGGGGAGGCCCTTGGTGTGCCCGAGGGCGCTAAGGGGGCTTGCAGCCACTGGCAACCCGGGGCTGCCAAAAGGCAGGTCCCCCGTCTCGCCGCTCGCGAGCGGTTTGATTACCCAGCACGCAGTTCTTGGGCAGAACATAGGTCCAGGCCTGTTGCTTTTGTTTCTCCTCGTTTTTTTCACTTGGTGATGAGCCCCTCTGCCCTCTTTTTAGGGAATGAACAAATGAAAGCCGAAAACTTTGAAGCTGCTGTGTCTTTCTATGGAAAAGCGATTGAACTCAATCCATCCAACGCTGTGTATTTTTGCAACAGGTACCTTTCTCCACCCTCCTACCTGTGGGTTTGTTCTTGCTGCTTAGAGCTAAGGCTCGTGAGCGGTTAAAATCCCTCTTCGCCGATGCCGTAGGCTGCTTGTTCCGTTGCTTGCTCTTTGCGTGGTGTGTTTAAGCTCACAGTGCCACGCTTTCCTGTGCCTCCTGCCAGCTCTCTGCCCTGACACCTCTAGAGAGGATGTGGGTGTGGAAACAAAACTCCTAGGCATTCGAGGAGATAGGAGGATGCCAAGAAATGCTGTCTGCTTTCATGCCGTTAATGCCCAGTGGGATAGAGAGCCCAGGTTTGAGAGGCTGTGTTGATAATAAAAACAAAGGAGCAAAATGAGAGAAGCTGAAAGCTCGTTGTTGAGAATTATGTGTGTGCCAGATGGGTACGCAGGCGAATTTCCAGCTTTCCCGCTCTGAGCCGGTCTTTGCGCACGGGGGGAAGGCGGTTGTGGAGTAAACCCGACTCTGAGTTGGGGTTTGGTTTAGTTACCTGCTTACCCTGAGTACGTACATGGTGCTGTCTGCAGGAAGAATGTGTGCGCTCGTGCCGTGGGGAGGTGTGTCCTGGGGCAAGGGACTCCCAACGGGCACTTTTCAGCGAAGCTCTAGCTGCGCGAGGGACGGTCCTGGGAGTTTTTGGGCAGGTGCCCCCATTTCAGTGAGAGACTTGAGATTTGAAGGAGCATGTTACAACTTCAAAAGATTTTCCCTCTTACATGGGAAAACGGAGGAAATGCTTGTTATGACTAATATTAAGGCATAAGGGAAGCTGAGAGAGGTTGTCTCTCTCTCAGCTTCCAGAGATTCTGTCATGGGGACAGGCTGGGAGAATTGGGGGGTTCAGCCTGGAGAAGGGAAGCTCCGGGGAGACCTCAGAGCCCCTTCCAGTGCC